CAAAATGTTAAATTTCTCCTTGCATTACATAAAACTAAAGTTTTTTTTTTATCATGGTCAGAATATGTCTTAAAAATGTAATTGGATAGGCCAGGAAAATACAGGGAAAGTAATATATATGCACATATAATTTTAAAACCATATTTTAAAGAATTATATAATTATCTTTTAGTCTTTAGACTAAGTTGTATATTTAGTAAGAAATGTTTAGTAGCCTTGTTTTATTATTTTAAGATTATTCTGAATTTTTATATATTGACTTTATTTCTCAACTAAATTATAACCTCCTAGGACAAAGACTCCTCTCCCTCCCTCTCTTCTTCCCTTCCTCCTTCACCCTCTCCCTTTCTTTCTTGACCTTCTTTTTTTTTCTTTTTCTTTTTTTTGGTTCCTTAGCTTATTTTAATATAATTTCAGACTTATAGAAAAGAGGTGACATCACAAGAATATGGACTTTGTTTCCTCAGATCCACCTGCTGTTTACATTTTGCCTAGTTATCATTAATTATTTCCTGTCTACCCACTTGAATACTCCCCCTACCATACATAACACATGCACACGCTTTTCTCCTTCAGTCTTCTGAAAACATTGCTGATATTGTGCTCTTTTACACAAAATTCTTCAAGAAATTTTTTCACTGTATATTTCTTGTACATGCTATTATTTTACCTAAGGACATACATGTTTATTGTGTATATTGCACATTGAGCATATTGCCTCTGAGACTTCTCTCCCCTTCCCTTTTTTACCCTCTTTTAAATCTTTAATCCCTTTGTTCCCCTGAACACTTTAGCTTCTAATTCCATATCTTATGGACTTGATTTTATTTTTTTTCTTTTTTTATTATTAGTGGTTTTTTGGTTTTGGTTTTTTTTTTTTTTTGCTTTTTTTTCTTTCAGACTTTTAAAATTTGAATTAGAAACAAGATTGTTTTACATGACAATCCCAGTTCCCTTCTCCCTCCCCTCCTCCCCTACCAACCCCTCCCCAACTAAAACCCTACCTATCACATATCCTTTCTGCTCCCCCTGGATGGTGAGGCCTTCCATAGGTTGTCATCAGAGTCTATCGTATTGGGATAGGGCCTAGGCCCACTCACTCCTGTGTGTCTTGGCTCAGAGAGTATTCCTCTATGTGAAATGGGCTCCCAAAGTCCACACCTATGCTAGGGATAAGTACTGAACTACTACAGGAGGGCCTGTAGATTTCCGAGGTTTCCTCAATGAAATCCATGTTCCTGGGATCTGGATCAGTGCCATGCTGGCATTCCCAGCTATCATTCTGGGGAGCAAGAGTTCCCCATACATGATTTTATATATTTATACAAATTAAAATCTATGACCATATGAGAAAACAAATGATACTTCTGAGAGACTGAATTAATTTGTTTAATATGATTATCTCTAGTTAAATCCTAACAATCATGCAAGTTCATTGTTCTTTACAGTGAAAAAAATCCATTGTATTTATATATTTATATCACTTTCTTTTCTTTCTTTCTTTCTTTCTTTTTTTTTTTTTTTTTTTTTTGGCTTTTTGAGACAGGGTTTCTCTGTGGCTTTGGAGCCTGTACTGAAACTAGCTCTTGTTGACCAGGCTGGTCTCGAACTCACAGAGATCCTCCTGCCTCTGCCTCCTGGGTGCTGGGATTAAAGGCGTGCACCCTGCATGTCACATCTTCTTTATCAATTCTTCTGTTATTGGGCACTCTGGTACTTTACTATTCTGAATAGTGCTGCAATAAACATTGATGTGCAAGTGTCTGTATGACGATGATTTGAAGTCCTTTGGGTAAATACCTAGAAGTGTTATTGCAGTTGTATATTGCATAGTTGGAGACACTCCTTGAATGTGAAAGTCTTCACATACTATATACTGAACTTTGCTTTAAAATTACTTATATTACAGCAGTTTAGGAAATTTTCAACAAACTTTTGTGAGAAAGGTGATGAAAATAGCTGGAAATAAAGAACCCATTGTCTGAATAAGTGATTTTAAAAAACAATTCTGTTGTAATAGAAGAGAAATAAAATTGATTATTAGTTACTTTTTCATCCCAGTGATGCCTTATTTCTCTGCCCTCTTGATTTGAGTCAGCCCTAAGACATTCTCATTTATCCTTCCTCTTTCCCTTCCTTTGCTCACTCTCACCTCACTTCTGTATAGTTTGCCCTACCTAGAATATACTTAACCAGATTCCTAAGCCCTAAGAAGCCCATCCTTCTGGATAATTACAATTTCTTCCTCCCTCAAAGAAGAAATTAGATTCTCCTGAATAGAGTTAATGGGAGAAATGGACACGAATAATTAGTTTCGTGGAAAACTTAGCAGGAATAGTATTGTTTCATACTAAAGTATACATAATGGGTAGTTACATTGGGTGCAGTTGAGTTTACTATATATACTATAATCTTTAACCTTTAATAATTGAACATAGTTATTTACTGCCTAGAATATAATAATGGTATATTACTAGCCTTTTCTTTATTTCTTTTTTTAAAACCTTGATTGGACTGGCAAGATGATTCAGCAGATAAGGGTGCTTGCCACTAAGATGGACAACCTGAGTTTGATCTCTGGTACCCATATGTTGGGAAGAGAGAAACTTACATTCTCATGCCATAGAATAAGGAATCCAGTAGGAAATGGATTTTAGTTGACCTTATGTCACTATTCTTAGTATGGTGCCTAGCTGTCCAATAAATGTTATTTAAAAATGAATAAAAATGTGATATTTAATTTTTTTACCCTTCTCAAACTTATCTATATATATGGTGGCCAATAAAAGCAACTCTATAATAGTCAGTTCAAAAACCACTAATACGTAAATAAATCATACAAATTTTTATGCTGCTATTTGCTATTATTAAGCTTGGGAAAAGTTACTTAATTTTTCTTAGCCCAATTTTCTTCATTTACAATTGAATATGGTCTTAAATAATTAGTATAATGTGAGCTGGGAATGTAGTTCAGTTGGTATAGTGCTTGCCTAGCATGAATGAAGTCCTTGGTTTCATCCCCAGCACCCCATAAATTCCAATGTACACACCTGTAAATCCCAAAACTCAGGAAGTAAAGGCAAGAGCATCAGAAGTTAACAATTTATTTTTGTGTATGTACCTGAGCATATGCTTGTATGTGTATGCAATACATGTGGAAAGGGCATTGGATTCCTTGGAACTGGAGTTAAACAGCTGTGAGCAGCTGGATTTGGAATCTGGGTCTCAACTCTTGAGCCATCTATCCAGCCTTAAATAAGGAGTTCTTTATGAACCGCCTACCTGGTTCTGAAGGACTAGTACTCAGAATTTATTTTGGTCCTTTATTACTTGGGTAATAATATTTATTTTATGGGCTTTGGTCTTAAGTTCTTAGGGACCATTTAAAAGTGTGTGTGTTTAAATACTCATTTATTAAACATATACTTAATGACACAACTGTGACTCAAGTGCCAGCCTCTCAAAGTATGTAAATAAGGGGGAAATGAATTCTTAGGGATCTTTCCTTCCCTAAGAAGAGAAAGGATAAATATGACTCTGGCTAAAAGTACTATGAAGATACCACAAGAAAACCCACAGACCTGAGATTATAAGGGTTCACAGAGACTGAACTAACAACCAGAGAGCCTGCATGGGATTGACCTAGGCCTTCTGCATATATGTAATAGTTGTGTAGCTTAGTCTTCTTGTGGGACTCCTAATAGTGGGAACTGGGGCTGTCTCTGATTCTTGTGCCAGCTTTTGGAACCATTATCATCATAATGGGTTGCCTTGTCCAGCCTTCAACTTGATATGCCATGTTTGTTTGATATCCATGGGAAGCCTGCCTTTCTCTGAATAAAAATGGAGGAGGAGTTAAAGGGGAGGGGGCAAGGGGAAGGTGATGGGAGAGATACTGGGAGGAGAGGAAAGAGGGGAAATAGTGGTTAGATTGTAATAAAAAAAGGAAGGAAGGAAGTTAGGAAGGAAGAGTGTGTAGACAGACAGATGAAGAAGTGGAGTATGGTGATGCTCACTTTTAATCATGGTGCTTGGAAAGCAGAGGCAGGCAGATCTCTGAGTTCAAGGCCAGCCTGGTTTACATAGAATTCTAGGACAGCTAGCAAGCACTACATAGAGAAACACTGCCCTACCCCTCAACAAAACCAGCTCTATGAAAAAAAAAAAAAAAAAAAACTAAAACCATACAGGGGACAGAATATAACAAGAGTGGAATACTATTTTTTGGGCTTAGGTGAGACCTGAATGAAGGAAGGCCACAAACCTGCACATAATTGGAGGAAAGAGTTCCAGGTAGGAGAGTTGACATTGAAGAGGCTGGAGGTTGGAGCAAGTCTGTATGTTCCAGCAAGCAAGATAGTTGAGTCTAGAAAACTGGAGGAATGAGGAAGCAGGAAATGGTGGCAGGAGGTCCCTAAAGGCTAGAATTTTGCAGAGCTTTGTTTACCTGCCAGTGACTTTGGACTTTATGTCTTCAGTAACTCTGTATGTTGGTACATGATTTGAGGTACAGTCTGTTCAGTGTTTCTGAACATAGTTGTCCTTCATTCGACAAATCAGGAAATTTAAATGAAATCTTAATATAGTCTGCAAAATACATAGCCTAATATTTATGAAATTCTGTTGAAGTCTTTGAAACTATATTTGGAGTATTACAGAGCCAATCAGCAGAGAGACTGACACTATAGTTACACTTTCTGATAGCTGAAAGGAGTACTCTATTTTTGAAATTGTTATTTGTGAATTGAATCATATTTGATAGTTTGCCTTTCTATAGGGAACTGACCTCCCAGGCTTATCTGTTCCTTAAAGAACTGAGGATTCCTTCCTTATTCTGCTTGTCAACATTGTCTTCATTAATCATTTCTATTTTCTTATGTTATAATCTAATTTAGAAGATTTGATTTCAGAAAGTCACGTCATATATCAGACTTGTACCGAATAATTTTTAAGTTAAATTTGTAACTGCTGCTCATTGATCACAAATGCCTGTATTTCAGATGGAGCAATTATCAGATGAAGAAATTGACCATGGTGCGGAAGAAGACAGTGACAAGGAAGATCAGGACCTGGATAAAATGTTTGGAGCCTGGCTTGGGGAACTGGACAAACTTACTCAGGTTAGAAATATTACTTGAAAAGCTGGTTGAAATTTTAAAGCTATCTCTACATGTTTAAAGTTTAATGTACAGACAAAAGATGTGGGTGCAGGCTAAATTTTAAAATATTGCTAAAAGAAACATTAACAGATAGATGAATAGAAACTTTACAATGCAAGATCGTATCTTCTGTGGTTATTATTTGTATATTCTTATAGGGACGTGTGTGTGTCTGTGTGTGTGTCTGTGTATGTCTGTCTGTGTGTGTGTATTATATATGTTTGTCTGTGTGAACATGTATGGGCAGGCTGAGACCAGAGGATATCCTCAAGGTTTCTTCTTGGAAGGCCACCACTTCTTTGAAACATAGGATCCTTATTCTCTCTCCTCTTCTTCCCCGCTAAGCACTCCCTTTTTAGTGAAGCAGAGCTGGAGATTTTTATTAAAGATGAGTTTATTATAAGCTTAAGCACCAGGACTAGAAAAGGGGGGGGGAGTGCTCAAAAGAAAGTAGGAAAGTATGGGTATGGGCTCCCTAAGAGGAAGTCACCAGATAAGATATTCATTGACATAATGCTTACCAATTAGGCTAGACCTGGGGATTCTTCCTATATCTGCCTACCCATGGCTAGGATTACAAGTGCCCATCATTGAGATTTGGGTTTGGGAGTCAAATGTAAGTCCTCATGCTTGCAAGTACTTTACCTTCTGAGCCATCTCTCTAGCCCCTTTTCTGTGGGCTTTTAGTTTGGTTTTGGTTTTGGTTTTGGTTTTTTGAGACAGGGTTTCTTTGTGACTTTGGAGCCTATCCTGGTACTCACTCTGTAGACCAGGCTGGCCTTGAACTCACAGAGATTCACCTGTCTCTGCCTCCAGAGTGCTGGGATTAAAGGTATGCACCACCAATGCCGGTTTCTGTGGTTATTCTAAGGGTTTAAAAAAACAGTTCTGTAACGATAACTCTTTCTGCCAGTTGCCTGAGTTCTGCCACCATGTTAGGGCCCCCAAATAACACAGAGAGATTAATATTAGTTACAGTGCTGCTGGCCAATGACTAGGATTTCTTATTTGCTAGCTCTGTCTTAAGTATCAACCATAACCATTAATCTATATATTTTATAAAGACTTATCGAGGATGCCATTGGCATGCGTCCTCTCACCCCCCATCACATGGAGACTCTCCTCTTTACTACATTTCCCAGAATCCTCCTCGACTCCTAGCCCTACCTATCTTGCTTCCCTGTTGGCCAACAGTGCTTTGTTTATCAACCAATAAGACAAACATATACACAGAAAGACTTCCTCCATCACAGTTCTTTTACAGGATTTCTGTTTATATGAGAGGTGACTTAATATCTTTCACAAATTTGAGATTGTAAACAATTTTAAAGTCTAAAGTTTAAAAATCTAAATTTTGACATATTTTTTCAAATTTAAATATTCTTTATGACATATTGTTTGTATTTCTGGCTCATATTTTTTTGTTTTGGTTTGTTTTTTCTTTGTTTTATTGGATTGTAGATTTCTTGTTGCTGGCAGTGTGGTGAGTGGTTGGTTGGTTTTTCTTTTTTTAATTAATTTTCATTTAAATTTAAGACAATCTTATTTTACATTCCATTCCCAGTTCCCTCTCCCTCCCATCATCCCATTCCCCCCACAAACCCCCATCTTACCCCTCATCCTCTCCTCAGAGAGGGTGAGGCCTCCCATGGGGGATCCTTAAAGTCTGTCACATCATTTGGGGTAGGACCTAGGCCCTCCCCCATGTATCTAGGCTGAGAGAGTATCCCTCCATAGGGAATTGGCTCCCAAAGCCCATTTGTACACTAGGGGTAAATACTGGTTCCACTTCCAGAGGCCCCATAGATTGCCCAGGCCCCCCAACTGACACCCATGTTCAGGGGCCTGGTTTGGTCCTATATTGGTTCCCAAGCTGTCAGACTAGGGTCTGTGAGCTCCCAATTGCTCAGGTCAGCTGTTTCTGTGGGTTTCCCTAGCATGTTCTTGACCCCTTTGCTCATCCCTCATCCCTCTCTACAATTGGATTCCAGAAGTTCAGCTCAGTGCTTAGCCGTGAATCTCTACTGCTTCCATCAGCTACTGGATGAAGGTTCTGTGATAGCATTCAAGGTTGTCATCAGTCTCATTGTAGGGGAAGGGCATTTAGGATAGCCTCTCCACTATTGCTTAGATTCTTAATTAGGGTCATCCTTGTAGATCCCTGGAGATTTCCCTAGTGCCAGATTTCTCGTTAAGCCCATAATGACTCCCTATATTAAGGTATCTCTTACCTTGCTTTCCTTTTCTATTCTTCCCCCAGCTTGACCTTCTTGATCCTTTATGTTCTTTCCCGCCCCCCATTCTCTCCTCCTCTTTCTCCTGCCTCCCTCCCCCTCCCCCTTCTGAGGCAGGGGGTCCATGTATGTCTCTCTTAGGGTCCTCCTTGCTTCCTAGCTTCTCTGTGGTTGTGGATTATAGGCTGGTTATCCTTTGCTCTATGTCTAATATCCATTTATGAGTGAGTATATACCATGTTTTTCTTTCTGTGTCTGGGTTACCTCACTCAGGATGGTTTCTTCTAATTCCATCCATTTGCCTTTGAATTTCAAGGTGTCATTGTTTTTTTCCCCCACTGAGTAGTACTCCATTGTGTAAATGAACCACATTTTGTTTATACATTCTTTGGTTGAGGGGCATCTAGGTTGCTTCCAGGTTCTGGCTATTACAAATAATGCTGCTATGAACGTAATTGAACAGATACCTCGCTGTCTTCATTACCATAGCTCTATTGTAGAGCTTAAAGTCAGGGATGGTGATGCCTCCAGAAGTTCCTTTATGGTACAGGGTTGCTTTGGCTATCCTGGGGTTTTTGTTTTTCCATATAAACTTTATGTGGATTCCTGGGATTGAATTCAGGGGCCAGGTTTTCATGGCAGGCATTTTACTTGCTAAGCCATTGTCCCCTATGCCAGAATGCTTTTTAGAATAAAAAGATGCAATGTTTACTTCCTTGGTTAATATACAGTATGTAATATTTTAAAATGGTCATATTAAAATAAATTTAATTTCATAATAATGAGAGCATTAGAGTTTATTTATGTTTAAATAATTTCTTTGGGAATGCATAAGTACAGGATTGCATAGCTAATGGAAAAATAAGATGAATACTTAAAGTTCTAGCTTACTTCTTAGCTGTGGATTAGTTTGAAAGGCAGATACATTTGTATCTATAGTCTATTACTGCTAGATTTGGAGGAAAATGTTTTCAATTCTGCTAGGATTTCATGTGGATTATTTTGTTTCTTCTCTGTCTTATTCTATTGCTATAAAGAGACACCATGACCAAGACAACTTATAAAAGAAAGCATTCAATTTGGGGTATACCAGGAGAAACCTGGAGTCAGATATTAGGGGATGAAAGCTGAAAGATCAGAGAAGCAGCCAGCCCCTAGAGCTCTTACCTCTACAAAATCCTCAGACTGAAAAGAGACTGAGTTCCTGTCTCCTCCCAGCCATCTCACTTCCTGTCTGTACAGACCTCCAGCCCTCTATGGTTGGTTTAGCTAGTGATCAGTTTCAGAAAGTGAGTCCACAGTCATCATGGCAGGAGGCAGGCAGGCAGGTAGGCATAGAACCAGAGATGTAGCTGAGTCCTAACATCTGATCCACAGCAGGAGGCAAAGAGAGAGAAACTGGGCCTAGGTAGTCTTTTGAAACTTCAAAGCCCACTGGCAGTGATACACCTCTTCCTACAAGGCCATACCTCCTAATCATTTTTCATCTGGTCCACCAAATGGGAACTGAGCTTATAGGGGCCATTCTCATTCAAATTACTACAAGCTTTGTAATCAGAAAAGATGTTATTTTTGTCAAAATGTCTTTTAATGTCTATAGGTGCCAAACTATTTCTGTTTAATTTCCTACTCTGCAAGTGGCAGGGGGAGGTGTGCGTGCGTGCGTGTGTGTGAGTGTGTGTGTACACATGTATATACAGTCCAGAGGTTGACATCTGGAGGGTTAGTCAGCATTCTCTAAAAGAACAGGACAGAATGAAAGCATACATATTAAGGGTGAGGGTTATTAGAGTGGCTTACAGGCTGTGATCTAGCCAGCAATGGCTGCTTCTTGGTGGAAAGGCCAAGAATCCAGTAGTTGTTCAGTCTATGAGGTGGATGTCTCAGCAGTCCTCATCTGATGCTGGAGACCTGGAGGGTTTCTTAGAGAGCTGCTGGTCCTCAGTCTATGTTGGAATCCTAACGAAGTAGATTCTAATACCAGCAAAGGAATGCCTCAGCCACAGGATAGATGAACTTGCCAATGAGAAGGTAAGCAATCAAGCAAAAAGCAAAAGTTTCCTTCTTCCACGTCCTTTTAAGTGGGCTGCCACCAGAAGGTGTGGTCCACATTTAGGATATGTCTGACCACCTCAAATAATCCAATCAAGAAAGCCCTTCACAGTTGTGACCAGCTGCTTGAGTTTTATTTGATTCCAGATGTAGTCAAATTGACAACCAAGATTAGCCATCATATCTCGTCTCTTTATCTTTTTTTTTATTCCATATTTATGTTATATGTGGAGGGGTAAGTTACCCATGCCATGGAGTTTTTGGAGATTAGAGGAGAACTTGTAGGAGTTGGTTCTTTCTACCGTGTAGATCTCAAGAGGCTTTGGAGGAGAAGAATTTTAGTATATTGTCTAAAGACTGTTCTTGTAATATTTTGGTGAAAAATGTTGCTGCCTTTTGCCCTTGTCTGAAGAGTCTACCTGAGGCTAAAATGAAGAATTTTGAATTAATTCCATTGGCAGAAGAAATCTCTAACAGCCTAGTGTAGATTCTGTTGTGTGGATATTACTAGCAACTCTAATGAAGATTTATAATTATCAAGCTGAGCAGGGTAAATTACAAAATGTAAAATTTAAGGAGAAAAGGAACACCAAAAAGTGGTATTCAAGGAGTCTTGTGTTCAAGGAGATAAATAGATCAAGAAATGAAAGGGGGGGGGTGACCTCAGGGCAAAAT